ACCTGACACGATTTGGTATTTGACGGCGGGGGGACGATGGGCATCGAGCGCGGGGTATGGCCGATAGTGGGAAGACGCGGACGAGTGCGAGCTGGCCGTTGGCCCGAGTGGAAATGGTTGCTGACCGTATGGTTCATGAGAATGCACTTGAGAAGGCAGCAGCAGGGCGCGTGTGCGCATGTCAGCTGGCAGGCGGGCAGGTGGGGCAGCTTAGGGAGAGCACGCGGAGGGCAGCTGGCAGGCAGGCAGGTGGGGTCAGCTTGGGAAGTTGCATGTAGTTCAATTTAGGTGGGTTTTTGGGTTGAGCCGGCAACCCGTTGGGTCAACCTGAACCAAACATGTATTTCAAACAGGACTAATCCGGGAACCCGAACCCGACCAGTTTAGAAATCGGTTCGAATGTTTTGGGCCATGTTCGAGTCTGGTTTTTGTGTCGTATCAAATATTGACACCACTAATGAGGGCTAAGTTTCTTATTCTTTTTATTCGAAATAAAATTCCTACACATCTTATCTAATTCATGAAGCACTCCTTTAGGAACTAAAGAAAGCGTACAATAGAAGGTAGGAATTGAAAGCAATACCGATTTTATAAGAGTGAACTTCCCTGCCAAGGATATGAATTTGCTACCCAAACATTAATCAACCCTAATGTTTTCTCAATAATGAAATAAAAATATGCTGCCACAAATCTCCTCAACACAAATTTCACCCCAAGATAATTAAATTCATTTAAAACTTTAAAACCCATAATACATTCTATTGATCTTCTCTTTCTCTTCTTAACATGTTTTCCAAAAGGAATAGAAAATTTTCCAATATATATCCTTTAGCCTGTCCAACCACAAAAAATTGATAAAATACCCTTAACTTCCTTCACTTCTTTGCACATTGCTTCAAAGAAAATTAAATATCATCTACATACAACAAATGAGATATTCTCAAACCATTTGGAGAAATTTGAACTCCCATGGAACCTCCTTTATGGAAAAAAGAAATGGATAAAAGATATGAGTAGAGAATAAAAAGATAATTGGATAGAGGGAAACATTGACGGAAACCACATCTTGCATGAATCCAACTGGAAAGTCTCCCATTAATCACCAAAGAGAATTTTGGATCTATAACGCATTCCATAAGCCAACTAGAGAATTTAGGAGGAAAGCCAAAATATAATAAATCATTTCTTAAGGTCTCCCAACGCATACTATCATAAGCTTGTTCCATATCAATTTTGACTAAAACAAGACCTTTCGAAGCTTTAGAAAACCCAAATTTATGGAACACCTCTTGAGCTACAATAATATGATCCTCCAGTGACCTTCCATTAATAAAAGCAGCTTGCTCCATCAAGATAATGGGTCTATTTAATAGGATATTTGCCACCAACTTGTAAATTGATCTACAAAGGCTAATGGGTCTATAGTTGTTCGGAATTGTAGGATTGCTTACCTTAGAGATGCACAATTAAGGTTTCTATCGAGCTAACATTTATGTCTCCTGAGTAGAAAAATGATTAATATCATTCCAAAAATCATTTTTAATAATGCACCAATAAGCTTTAATAAATGAATAAGACATAACATCATTTCCTGGTGAGATGTTTTGGTGATTAGGCTAATTGTTCAAATTTTATCCTAAAACTTTTTATATCTTTAAATTTGAGGATAAAAAAATTATACAAAATATTCATAAATTATCTAAGAATGTCTAGATTGGTTGGGTGAAACTAGTTTACAAAACAGACAACTAACGGTCCCAAAAGGTCCACTTGTACCTAGATGTTTTAATTTCTTAATAAATTAGAGTAATGCCCAAAATTAGGAAGAAAATTATTATAATTAAAACATAAAAATATCTATGTTATAGTGATGATAGTTTATAATTTAAACTTATAATAACACTTGAAATAATTTTAACTATTGCAGGTCAAAACATATATTTTAAGTTTTTATTACAACATGATGAATGGAGGTCACATTGCATGTATAAGGGATTTTTAGTAATTAATTTTTCAGCCATGGTCAAAGGGTTGACCATGACTTGATTTGGGTTTAGGATGAATCAAATAAGTATTTGAAGTGTTGAAAAATGTAATGGAAAAGTCCAATGTATGTATGACAATTAAGATGTCAATTTTGTTAATTTTAGGACATATTATGTATTTTGAGAAATTAGGTTTAACTTAAATGGATTTAGGATTTTCAATGTCTAAGGATAGTTGGGATTTGTTTGATGGAGATCAAGAGATGATCTATTTGAAGCACAAGGTCATGGAGATGAATTTTCCTAGGTCTATCTTATAAATAATTAAAAATTCTTATTTTTCAAAAAAAAATTGATTTCTTTTTTTAAATCTAATCACTTTAAGAGCAACTTCAAATAATGATCCACATTGAATAGTTGCATAGCTTAATAGCATCATAGAAACATGCATTATTAGTTGTTGAGATTATAAAGTGTACTAATATTGTATATTACTTATGTGAAGGCTTTGATAATCAACAGCTTAGCGGTAAACCAATATGATTGATTATGAGGTTTTTAGACCTATGTTTGGCCTCAAACTAATTATTAGGTTCCCCATCAGGGTCCTATTTATATGTTGGCACTAAACTAGGCTAGGAGGACTTAAGCACTAAGGATAAGAGATGATGGAAGAACTTAATATCATACAAAAATATTACACATTTAGTTGTCAACTCTTTGTAAACACGTTTAAGGACGTAACCCAAACATTGTTTAGCTCTTTTACCATAGAAATGCTCCTTTGAGCAATATTCATAAGTCTTCCTTTTCTGATTTGTCATATGCATGTATAAGGTCGACAATTAAAGATCTTTCAATCTATTTTGTACATTAAGTGGAAAACAAGGGATTCTCTTAAATATTATGCCAATTAATTCAATATAACTTCTAATGAATTCATTAAAGATGAAAACATCGTCAAAATTGTTTTGATTTTAGGATTGCAACTTAAGAATTACAAGTTTATGGTTGTCAAGTATCACAGCAACTTGAAGGATCTAATATAATGGTTATCCAAGTACATTAATTAACATAGAGGAGTTCAACCTACCTTCTTTTCTCATATCTCCATGAAGGGTGAATGACACTTGAGAACGCCTCTCACAATCCACCTTGTCACTAAATGTAAGTGAGGATCAAATTCTCCCATTGAGGGGAAATGTATTGCCAACCTTTCCAAATGATAGAGAGGTGGCTCAAGCTTCTTCCCCAAGAGTTTGGGGATATTACTATCCATCTTTTGAACAAATTTCTTGCAAAAATTTTGTCATCAATTCAGAAAAGGTTCCCCAAACAACTCCTTTTTAGAAAGATCCCAAGATTTTGTAAAGGTTAGAATTTTGATATAGCATAATAACCATGACCACTACGTCAAAGAGTTTCACACTATCAAAGCCTTCTTTAAGAAGCTAATTTGCAAGAGAAGTCTGAAGTAGTTTCACATGAACTAATGCACTAATAAGTAGTTGGTTGAGGATTAGTCCTTGTTAGAGCTCATAGTAGGCGTTAAAATAATTAAAAATGATGTAATTCATTGTCAGAGTTATTGATGTGGAAACAACCCAAAAATGGAGTCTTCATAGGCTTATGTAATATATGGTGCATTCATTTATTTCTTATCATATTTTGTGCAAAAATGGAGTCTTTGGTGTTGATGACAAAAGTAGGTGTTGATGTCAATGATTGTTATTGACCTTATTAATGATGTCACAAATCAACATTAGTATAAATAGCACATTTTATTATTGATACAATTGTATGCATAAAAAGTAACTTTCCAAAGCATAAACTTTTAGAAAGCACTAAAAAATAGTAGCTAAATGAAATAGTAACTATTGCCTAAAAAAGTATAGTGAGAAAACTATCCCAATCAAACCCTTAATGTGTAGTAGGACCTATTCTATTAAATGATGCATGTAACCCCTTAAACATAAAATATTTTACAAATATAAAAAAATAAAAATAAAAATAAATTAAAAAAAATAATATTTTACAAATATTTAAGCACTTTAATGATGTCATAATAGGTAGAACGTTGAACGCATTGAATCTGTGTCGCATAAATTTGTTAAAAAAGATTATATGATCTTAAATTTCATTATATATATATATATATATATATATCAATAAGATTACATTTTTTTAGCACAGGCATATCATGTTTTAGATATGTTCATCTTAAATCCGAAGGTCCAGATCGATCCACGCTAATTTCGTCGCAATAATCGTGAACCGGACAGAACTTCGTTATCCGGGAGACCGACCGGTCCATCGGGCCCATTTAACGGGTCTCATTACCTAACACAAGTAGTCTGAAAGTTCCAAACCAAATATCTTTTCCAAACCGGCGCGAAATATGTTTCCAACCGGTTATCCTCTCGGCCCTCTCTCTCCTCGAGTTCGCCGCTGCGCCATCTGAATGACGCGTGGATTCATCCTGACCATTGGAGTTCGATGGGTTCCTGGTGGACCACTAACAAGATTCCTCTTTCCTATTGCCCAGTTTAGCCCTAGGCTCTATCTTTTTTCACCGGTGACCCCTTTGCTGGTCTTCTCCTAAATATTTTTGTATCCAAGAAACCTTATTCTTTACATTAATCACGAAAACGCCACCGTTTACCAATTTAATCGATGGCACGCGACCCCACTGCAATCAGCCGTCTTTTCTCCATCAAACGGACGATCGTAAACTCATAGGACCCATTAATTGACGTAATTCTCCCAACGAAAAGACCGAAGTACCCCCGTCCATTAATCGTTTCGCTTGTCCTTTTCTTCACTGCACAGAGTTTCAGTTATCTATAATTTCTCTTATTATAATTGACGAATATACCCATCCCACAAACGCCAAATGAGTTAATAAGTAAGGGGCATCTTCGGAACACATGCCAATAATACGGTTGCAGGCACGTAATTTTGGTGGATAGAAGGGTTATATATCGCAGACCCCACTTTATATAATCCTGCGCTGGTCTAAAATATCCCTTCCCCTATTCTCTCAAATCTATGCCCCCTTTTTTCTCCGCTCTCTATCTTCTCCTATCTAATAGCTGCCATCTATTTCCTATCTGGCCAAACTACGGCATCCTCCGCCGTTCGTACAGCGCTGCGCCACCGATCTCGCCGTTTCCTTGCAACCCACGCATCCTTCCGTCCGTTCCACCGTTCTATGCGCTCGACACTGCCTCCTCTTCTAAACCCTTTTTTATCCTATCTGTTTCCAATTCTACCCTTGAGTTTCATCGATTTTACGATTTTGGTTTTTTCTAATTTTTTATTTCTGTGCCGTATTTTAAAACTGTTTCCAAACTCTGTGCTGACGTGGCGGGAGATGTCAAGCCACGTCCATCCGATCTCGAGGAAGCGCAAGGAAAGAGATCTGACGGCGGCAGTGACGGCGGCTAAAGTCGAACCGCCGGCCGGATCGTCATCGTCGGCAGGGAATCAGCTGCTCGCCGGCTACCTAGCGCACGAGTTCCTCACCAAGGGTACGCTGTTCGGAAAGCAGTGGCCCCCGGAGCGGCCCGAGCCGACTGGTGGTTCGGCAACATCGGCCCAACCCGGTCCGGTCGAGGAGGACCGGGCCCGCTCAACTGGCACGGCGAAGGCATATGATGAGGTGGCGTACCTGCTTAAGATGGATGGAGTCCACATTCCCGGCGTCGTCAACCCAACCCAGTTGGGGCGCTGGCTCCAGAAGTGAATTGTTCTCGCGCGACAGCGTACCGCCTTATGTTTTACACATGGCGGTATTTCATTCGCTGTAGGATGTCTCTCTATCGCTGCAAACGGCGTGCATGGTTCTTCCAGGACTAGAGGTGGTGAGTGAGGATGATCGCTGGAAGATAAATGCTTGCTTAAAATGGAAAAAAAATAATTGAAGAAAAGTAGATTTTTCTATCACCATAATTCTCTTTTTCTCTTTAATGGATTTTAGTTCTTAAACCTTTTTAATTTGCTTTTCTTTCTGATTAGAATGGAAGTAATAGCAGAGCTGGATTATTGCTACTGATATCTCGGCTCCATGAGCAGAGAAAGAGTAATCGCCTGATGTTTACTGCGTTCTCTCTTAGTTCTTATATAATGCATTTTCGTTAAAAGTAGATGTTTTTTCATAGTTATTATTATCACTTACTGATATTTTATTTCTGGAAACAATAGTTCGCTGGCTCTGAATCAAGCATTATGATATATGTTTTGCTCATATATATCATGCATTTTGTGATAGTTCGTTTGGCATTTAGTTTATTTTGATACTTGCTGGGATATTTGATGCTTGTGGACGTAAATTTTTATTTGTTTCCACCCACTTGCCAGACTTATCTGATGATAAATTACTAGGAATGAAAAAAACATTTGATGAGGATACAATATATTTCTTCTTCAGGTACAAAACAAGTTTGTCCTATTACAACTCTTTTTTTTTTTTCTTTTAATTTTACGAAGCAATAATATGAATTAATATAGATAGTTTATTTTTTTTCATGCAATATAAATATCATTGTTTATTGTATTAGGAATTTCGGTTTTAATTTTTGCTTCACAATTACACTTTGACATGTTTTTTATTTTTTTTTTATTCATCGTAGAGATTTATAGTTTTGCCCTGACTGTTTTTTTTTTTTTTGGCTCAGAAGGAATATATATTTGTTCATATTCTACATTAAAATATGATAATAAATGTTGCATCCAATGTTGTCCAAAGAGTTACACTAAAAACCTGATTACATATTTGGTTCAAACCCAATAAATTGACAACATTAAACCCGATCGACCTATTAGAGAGAAAAGGCGAATCAAACTTAGTGACGAGCAAGAAAGAGAACAATATTCTAGAGAATTTTGATAGATTTCTTTGGTGACATTTTGTCACAATTACTAGATTATTCAATGCTCATGCTTGATCAATGACCCCCCCATAAGTGAGGATCTAGGTTAGTGACACATGATGGGTTACATGATTGTAGAACAAGAAAACTAGTTGAGTCTAGTAGACTTTGATATGATCAATTTTTGTTAAAAATTTTGACTACAAGTTGTCCGCTAAAGATGATTTTTGGGTGAGTTCCAGAGAGAGGGTCAGTGAGTAGCCTTTATGACCATTTATGTTCAACCCTTAGGGGGTGAATAATATTGGATCCAAGTTTATTTGTGGGTGACATTCGATCTTTCTAGCATACGAGCTTTGGAGAATATAACCTGACAACTTGCATGAGAATGGAAAAAAAGAGAGGAAATTCTATGAAAAGTGTTCTACTAGCTCTAGTGCTTCTAAAGAAAAATATCAAGATGTTTCCCTTGACCTTTTATTTATAAGGATGTAAGGGCCATAAATAAGGATACATCAAGAAAGAATAAAAGTACAATAATAAATGACTTTTGGTACAAATTTCCATTAATAAATTTCGTACTCCGACTTGCTCTTTGAGAAAGTGCATCTCTTTTTTTTTATCGCTCTTTCTGGGGCATGTTCCCTTATGCACAATCGAGTAGATGTGGGCATATTGGCAAGTTCATGTGGACGAGTGCAATGATGAGGTTCGAGCTAAAGGGCTATGATTAATGAGCACACCAAAATTATTAGCGATCTTTTGATGGAATCCTTAATAGATTTAATGTGGAAGGAAAATATATCGAAGTTATGGGGGTAGTAGACTCAATAATCAATTGACCATGATGTGAAGAGCTGAACCCCTCTTAGAAAAATCATTTATTGTAGCTTGGATGATGAGTATTATTGATAACATTTCACCTTAGATAATGGTTAGTGTCATAGGTGAGAGATTGTCATCAATGGGCGAGTTTCGAGCTAAGTGGTTTGGTGCATCCTGAACTTTTGTGTGGGAGGTGACTTCCCTATGATTATTCTACCGAGTTAGGGTTTGACGAATTTAGGTGAGTCCACATTATTGAGGTTTATGAGATACGAGTTAACCTACCATGACTTCCATGTAGTTGATAAACACTTAAAAAGATGTAGGAAACTTTACAAATACATTATATGAGTAGGTAATATCTTCAGAAAGTAAGCTTGTTACGGTAGGTAGCTTCATCAGTACCTTTGTAAAGTTCATGATTGAGTGTTGTGGGTTGAGTAGAAGTTCTCTCATGGGCAAGTTTGCTGTGTTGGTTCATGAAGCTTTTCATATTTTAAGTTAAAGCTAACTTGTGTCAATTCAAGATCAACAACTTATTAATTCTCTTTAGCCTTTTATGATAACTTGATCAATTCAACCTAGATGAATATATATTTTTATTAATTACCGAATTCTTATGTTACGACTTTAAAACTAAGAGGAAAATGGGAGTAAATATAATGAGCCAAATTCAAGTTTTTGGGTTAAATATTAAATATGATATAGGATGTTTATTTATGATAGGTACTTTCGAAAAGTGGCAATCATGGCAAAATTTAAAACATATAAATATTAGACTCAAAGCTGTTTTCAAAGATTTTTATTACTTTTGTTTTTAATCATAGTTTGATGGTGCATCTTGGATCTATTGTGAGTGATGGTGAAATTGATGGGGACATTATCAACAGAATTCAAGTTGGATGGTTGAAGTGGAGGAATGCATCGGGCTTATTGTGTGATAGAAAAATTACCCCTCAAACTTAAGGGAAAATTCTATAAGATGGTAGTGAGGTCTGCAATGCTTTATGGTGCTGAATGTTGGCCATTAAAAGAGAAGCATAATACTAAGTTAAGTGTGGCAGAGATGAGGATGCTCAAGTGGATGAGTGGCTTTACCCTTAGAGATAAGATAAGAAATGAGCATATACATGAAAAGGTTGGAGTAGCTCCAGTAGAAGATAAGATTAGAGAGAGTCGCCTTAGATGGTTTGGTCACATAAAATGGCGGCCTTCCAATGACCCGGTTAGGAGAGTAGAGGTATTAGATTTGACTTATGTTAAGAAAGGTAGAGGCAGACCTAACAAGACTTGGTTAGAAAATATTAGGAATGACATTTCTTTATTAGATTTAAATGTGGATTTGACCTTTAATAGGACACAATGGAGAAAAAGGATTCATGTAGCCGACCCCACATAGTGGGATAAAGGCTTGAGTATGTTGTTGTTGTTGTTGTAGTTTTTAATCATAGTTTGTTTATTTTTTTTTTCATTAATGTTTTGCATTATATAAAGTTAAAAAAAAAAGATTAACTCTCTAGCTTTGACGTATTTGATAAATCAAAGCAAAATTTTAGTGAGTTAGTAACATGCATAGATTTGATGTTTGTAGGAGTGCCTTCATCTTTGAAGGTCCTTCCATTACAGAAGATAAATATTGAACTAGCATAAGATAAAATAGGTGATTATGACAAGGATCTCTCATAAAGTTAGATAGTTATTGCAGGAACTTTGTGGTCTAAGAGAAGCTTCAAAAACAACCAATACAACAATATCAAAACTTTATCCCACTATGTGGGGTTAGCTAAATGAATCCTTTTTCTACATTGTGTCTTGTTAAGAGACAAATTCTCATTTAAATTTAACAAAGGAAGGTCATTTCTAGTATTTTCTAGACATGTTTTCCAGCCATGTCTTTTTTTATCTACCTTTACCTTTCTTTTTTTTTTTTGGGACATTTATGTCATTTAAGGAAAACTCACACACACAAGGCTTATACAAAGACTCAAATCTAAGACCTCTTAGTTGGAAACCTAAGCTATCAACTAATAGGCCAAGGTGAGTTGTGTTCCTATATCTTTCTAAATATAAGTCAAATCTAATACATCTATTCTTCTAATTGGGTCATTGGAAGGCCGCCACTGTGTGTAACCAAACCATCTAAAACAACTCTCTCTCTAATCTCACTATAGAAAAATCAATCGTTACTGACCATGGAAATCCATTGGTAAAATCAGGGTTTCGATGACTTTATGGCGAAAAGTTGTTTGATGGTAATTCGCGCATCGAAAATATAATTTCGTAAAAGAAAAGTGCCATAAATATTTTCATCGGACTTACCGGTAGAATTCTAGTGAAAAAACTGTAACTAAAACGTCATTTTTTCTCGTAATTTATCCGCCAGAAATTTTGGAGAAATCTTTCTACAGTAAATGTCGGCGTATAATCTGTAAGATAGTTTTACCTAACAATTACAAACGAAAATATCCTACAAATAATCCGTTGGAATTATTGCCGTAAAGTTTTTGCCATAAATTCAATACCATTTCGTCATGTGACTATTTCCGACGGATTATTTGTGTGAAGCTTGTAGCAAAAAAAGAAAAAAATAGCATTCTCTATTAGAAAAATAATTTCTATAACACAACCTTCGTAGAAACATCCAAAATTATATTCATTCAAACTTAAACATCTACATAAACATAACATCAGAATCATCACCAAATATTGAACACGAACATATAAATAAAAATATACATTAATCTAAATTAAATGACCATTCACCAAACAATTCAAAATAAAATTTAAAGTTCATTCATTCAAAACTACACATATTTAAAAATAAATAATATATATCACTACAGGAAAACCCGTTATTACCGGCGGACTAAATCCGCCGGAACACATAGATAATCCGACGGAACCATAGGTTTCCGGTGCACGTTTCGGCGAAAATTCATACGCCGATTTTAGTCGCGTCAATAAATTTGTTCTGACGAATGTAATACGTCAGAAAACGTTCCGGCGCACGTACCGACGTCTTACCAGCGTAAAACATCGGGTTGGTGCTGACGACTTGCAACCGATAAATTCCGGCGCCATATGTGACGGTAAGTTTCTGTCGGATTGTTCGCCGGTAAGTACTGGCGGATAAAACGCCTCAAGTTCGCCGTAGACAACCCACGGCTTTGTTTGCGGCGCAAAATCGGCGCCGGAAAGAAGCGGCGGAACTGGCGCCGGAAGATGCGCCGGTAGTTGCCTACGGAAGGAAGACATCGATACGCATGATACAATTCGTTGTATCGTTCTTTCCGGCGGATTTTCGGCATACAATCCGCCGGAAACCTGTAGCATTAACAAAAAAAAATTCCTTCCCAGCCAACAATCAAATTTCCATACCTACAAACGAATACAAATAACAATTCCACAATATTTCACAACAGTTTATAACATTTTATAACAAATTCACAACAATTTTACAACACTTTATAATATAAAAAGAAACTGTTCAATAGTAACAATCAACAAAAAACATCAGATTAAAAGAAACAGTTCAATAACACATGTTCACAGAAATAAACAAGTTCATGTAAACTAAATTAAACTACTCTGACTCTGTGGACTTCTCCTCAGGTGGAGCTACGTCTTTTCCACTCAGTTGATCCCTTATCTTGTGCATTTCATCCAACAACTGATTGTGTTCTCCGTACTTGTTTGAATCTGTGTTTGCAGCTGAGCTTGAACCTGTGCCTGCAGCTGAGCTTGCCAATCAGCTTGTGATTTCCTTACTTGTTCTAGCTCAGCTTGAAGGGCACTTATTTATTGAGCTTGTAAGGAGTCATGAGAACTGGATGCGAAGCTGGATACAGTAGAGGAGGTCATCCCCTCATAGGCCTGAGCTTGCGCACCTAAGCCATATACTCTACCATGCTGCATTCCTCCGACGGCCTGCGACCAGATGCGATACTCAGAATACTCCACAGAGCCGCCAGAAGAGCCCTCACCTGATGCGGCATGAGTCTCTCGAAGCCGTGTATAATCCTCCTTTGAAAGTATAATATAAATATATATAGTTAAACTAAAACTTAGAAAATATTAAACATATATAAAAATATACTTACATAGGCTTTTCTTGATCTCTCATCAATCCACTGTTGATCCTCCTATCGCTTATGAGTGTGACTATGCAATTCAACAGGAGTTGGTTCTCTACCAAGCATCGCTTTCTGTTTGAATTAAGAGAATTTTATTAATATAGATTAAAGAATAATTTTAAAAAATAATTAAAATTCATTACCAAATGACGCCTGTGCTCAGTATGTGGAACAGAGCCGCCTATATGAAGTGAACTACCCAACCCACCAACATCAGAAGCTCTGTTCTGTCGATTCTGATCCCTCTTCCTACTGTACTCTTCGCTGCCCCAAGCTGCATTCAACTCATCCCATATAACCTCTCCAATCCATAATGGTCGCTTCCCAGACTTTCTAATATCTGTGAACATGTCGCGCATCCGAGTAGACCCATGCTTCTCAAAATTCTTTCTAATCCTATCATTGTGTTGGGGCAGCCAACAAAACTCTTTATGTAATCAAATACATATGATATATAATATATAAGATTATTAGCTTAAGTAAGAAAGAATAAATCATTTAACATAAAAACTAAAACACAAAAATACCTCAAACTCTCTAAACCACATCTCCCGGACTTCTTTCGGGACTTTCTTCCAAGAAACATAAGGAGCGTCAAACCTGCTCCGTATGATGTCCCGTATTTTATGTGTCGGTTGTTTTGATGGGTAGAACCTACAAAAATAAAGTTATATAAAACAAATATAAAATATAAAATAAAAATATTTGTTAGTTTAAAAAAATAAAAGAGAATGTACGTACGTGTCACCCTCAGGTGCTATCAACATTCTAACATCTGTCTCCTGCTCTGCTGCAGCTG